TTCAATATAGTATATAATGCATATTGACAACCACCACCATGCTTTCGCCATGGACATCGCTGCACCCTTCCAAATTAGCAAATTTTTGACAGACCAAACTTTCATACGTGGAAGTTCAAGATGCAAATGACACTGAAGGAGCGCGACCTGTGAAAGATTGTGAGCGGCAAGATCAAGCTGGAGCAGTGCGTTACCTCGCTAATTTAATAAGCATACAAGCTCAAGTCTCATGAGACAATGACAATTACCTGCCTTGCAATAGAAGACTCACTACTTTCGTGAGTTTGGTCGGCGAGAGGTGCGCTTGATGCATGGTCGCGTCTTGAAGGGCATTTTGAAGAGAAGAACCTCGCCAACTAGCTTTTTTCATGACAATGATGGGAGAAGGTGATGATGTGCTACATCATATTGACAAGACCAAGATACTAGCGGAACCGCTCGACGCGATTGGAGCTTCGGTAAGCACAGATGACTTGGTGATCACGCTTCTAGCCAGTCTGAGCGCATCGTCCTTGTTCAATAGATCAAGAGCCTAATCTTTGACGTAGGAATTTTTGTCTTCTCGACTCCTTCATGAGAATACGAAATGTAAGAAACGGAGCACTGAGTAATGGGCTTCACTTAGCCATTACATGACGGTACTCTATGTACCTTCTGTACGCATTGTGGGAACTGATAAAAAGAATATCACACACAGTATGGTGTTCCCAAATGCATTCGTGATACCTAAGGTCTTGACGGTAGATTTGCAACTAAATTAAAACGAGCCAATGGTTCCTAGAGCTACACTTCAGCGGGGCTGCCGTAGGTTAGCGCTTGAGGAAGCGTAATTTAGGTCACCGACCTTTCGCTCTATACTTAAAACAAGTACGAGTTAGCGGACCACAATCCGCTTACTCTTTTTCAGGGTACGTGTAACCCCGTTACATACACCCCAGGGGATCCTCGAGGTTTTACAGAAAATGTCGTGCTCCTAATTTGTTCAATTTAGGGTGCGCTGAGGTTGAAACTCATACAAGATCTTGGGTGAACGAAGCTTGAGCTTCAAAAACCTGAACTTCAACTTTTGTGGAAAGTATCTAGTAGTAGAGGGACTGGTTATTGCCACACACTTCAGAGGCAGTGACACATCGGTTTTATCACCCGTGCAAACCCCAAGTAGACATCCGCATTCTGTATCACACAGAATTTCGCAGCGGGGCTAACATAGCTCGTTCGCTTAGAGGAAGCTTTGTTGAGGTCGGTGACCTTCATTTTATACTTAAAATTAGTACGAGTATAGCGGGGATACAATCCACTTACTCCAAGAGTAACTACAACCTTAATCAAGGCTGATTAACCCTTTCTTTAAAACGTAACCTGAATTTATCGGTTTTATTTCCGGCAAAGCCGCCTATATCTAACCCTATCGGATTTCCTATCTATGTATAACTACTGGTTGTCCAGCCACATACTGACTTGTTGTTAAAATGTAGTCACACCACTCTGTGGTCACACCATCTTGTGTGACCCACACCCTTCTTACCAAGTCACGTGAAACCCCGTTACACTCTCTGCAGCGGGGCTGCCATAGCCTCGCGCCTCGAGGAAGCGTAAGTTAGGTCACCGACCTTTCGTTCTATACTCAGAACAAGTACGAGTT